TCTTATTTGGTATTTAGTGCACACTTTTCAAAATCAAAAAATCAAATTTAAATTTGATAAAACCAAATAAAAAAAACGAATATCCACCAAATTATATCTACACAAGTTTTTGATCCTAGTGTTAAAACAACCAGGTGAACACAATTAAGCTTCTAAAAATATTGGGATCACTCATCCCTGTTACTAGAGGTGTCAAAAATGAAATCAAACATTAGTAACCCGTCCAATCCGTCCAGAATTTTAAGGGTTGGGCTCAAGATAATTTGAATTGAGTTCAATTTCAATCCATTCAAGCCTAACCCATTTGAAGAGAATCTTCAATTGAGACTAATTCAATCTTCAATTTCAACCCATTTTAAAACTCTTTACTAAGATATGCTCCTATATTAAAGGTATGAATTATTATACATTTAACATCTTTTAGGATTTATCTATTCATTTGTTACTTTTAAAAAAATTAATCTTGAGTTGAAATTCGAATTGTGATTATAAAAGTTAAATATCACTATATTAAAATTATTGAGATTAATCAGGTCAAATTGGGAGGGTCAAGACTCAACCTGTTTTTTAGCCCATTTGAGCCCAAAGTAAACTTGGACGGATCAAGACCCAACTTGATTTCTATTTCAACCCATTTTAATATCTCCAATTTCAATCCAACCCCTCATTTGACACCCCTACCTGTGCAAAATCATTCAATGAGACTGCTCAAACACTCAACTTCAGGACATATGGGGACTGGGGTGGTTGCATCACTATTCAAGCCCAATACTCATAGCATTGACCAAGCATCCTCGAACTCTTTTTTATCATCAAAATTATCATTGTGGGAGTGCAATCACATACAATATACATATAAAATTGTTAGAAGAATCTTTAACAAGACATTTTATTACTCATTATGATTTATTAAGGACATTGAAAAGTGTGCTTGTGGATAAAAGGAAGTTTAGACTGCAGACAAAAAAAAAAGTAGGTCCATTTGGAACTTATCCAACCATAGGATAATCCAAGTCACTCTCGCATCATTTTGTGAATTATCTGAATTACAAGTTGTGCAAAATTGGGATTCACAAAAATCTACATACATAATTCTTCTTTACGTGTCTATCTATCCATACACTTAAAAGACCCATGTTGTTTCCTCCAGTCTTGTCCATGCCTTGTCTTCACCCTTAAATATCAATCTCCCTTTCATTTCTCACCATCAACACAATAATTCAAGAACTTCCATATATTCTATTGAATTTCAGAGCCAACAAAAATAGGAACAAACAACCATGAGAACTATTTCCCTTCATTCAACCTCATTTTCACTTCTTGAGTTCCATGGTACCAAGAATTTGGCACACAGGTATATTTATATGCATTGAAAATTTGAAATCTTTTGATTAATTTCATTTTTTTTTTCCAATGGGTGTTTTTTGTTTCTGTTTTATGATTTGAATGCTACGTAGCAGCAGGATCAATGGATCGGTTTCGTTAATTCCAATGGCAAGGCCTCAATTTCAGCCTAAAAAAAGACGTGACATTGGTACTAGCAATAGAAATCCAAGTTTTAGGTGGGTTTTTGTGTACATCTATATCCCCTGTTTTATGTTAGTTCTCTGTTTTTGGCTTCAAAATGGGTGTTTGAACAAACAATATTTGTAGCTGGATGGCAACAGTTGGAGAGAAAGTGCAGAACTCCACTGTTCCTACTTCTGTTCCTGTTCGAGTTGCACTGGAATTGCTTCAAGCTGGCCATCGTTATTTAGATGTCAGGTAATGCAAATTTATGCAGTTTTATCTGTTCCAATTTACATGACATAGTTCGAATTTTGATAGTCAAACAAGCATATGCCCTTAAAATATTTTTTTTTTTGTGACTTATACTATTTCTTGCCATGTAGTTTCTAAAACATATAAATTATTATGTCCAAATTTATGATCAAAACAAATTTTTTTTATCAATCATTAGTATGGAAGATTCAATCTTTTTAACATTTTTTTTGTGCAGAACTGCTGAAGAGTTCAGTGATGGGCATGCTGCTGGCGCCATAAACATTCCTTACATGCTTAGAATTGGCTCAGGTTTGATTATTTGTAATTCAATAGTACTCTCTTTTTCTGAGTACTCGATGTTAACAATATTTAAGTTTTTCAAATATTTTTTTTACAAGTGTCCTCTTTATTTCCAAGTGGCAACCATGCATGATAGATTTTTTACAATTGTTATTGAGTTCTCAAAAATTGAAATGGCGGCAATTACTAGTTCGCCTGGTTTCTCCTTGTCGTGTGTTTTCAAGTTTACATGTAAAATGTATTTTGTTCATCTTACTTCTCTTTCAATTTTCTTACTTGCTCATAGACGGAGGGTTATTTAATTATATACCCATGACTGTGTTACAATTCTCTTGTTCCATTTTTATTCCTTTGAAAATATCTTGGCAACTTGGAAAACATAAATCATACACAACTAAAGCTTCAAACCAACTTAATTAAAGTACATTATATTGTTTGGTTGTACATAAGAGCGATTTTTGGTTAGTCTTTGAAGATAAGTTTTGCTAGTATTTTTTTCAAGTTAATTGCATGTTTGAACACAATTTTTACTTTCAAATACCCCTTTTTAACTTCAACTTTAAATACTATTTTTTCTGTATATCACTCCATTCATGTCCAAGTACATATTAAGGACTAAAAACCAGAAAAGAGTTGTTTAAAGTTCACTTAAGAAAAGGAAGAGCTAGAGACCAGAATTTGCATGAAATGTGTTCAAATATGAACAAAGAGTACTCTCTGAAGTTTCATTTGTTTTTCACGATAATGTTTTTATGCAAGTGCATCTCATTTTTTTAGTCCAAGTTTCTTTTCTTCTTTGAGTTGTATGTTAGTTTCCCACATCGAAGGCAAAAGCAGGACTTGAACGCAAGTGTTTTGTAATAAAAGCCAGTCACTTACACTGGTCAAAGCATACCTTTCTCGGCCTTTTGGCTAAGATCAAGTGTAGTATCTGTTCTTATCAGTTTAATATCTGATATGTGGACCATTGGTCCACACGATATTAACTCAATTTTTTAAGGGGAAGAGTCCATTAAGGTAGCTTGCTGCCTGGGCTCTTGCGCGTCGCCCATGTGTTGCACTACTGCACGGGCCTGGCGCACCCCACCAATTCAAGTTCAATTTTTTTTTATGTTAGGTTTTGTTCCATCATTACTTCCATCCCCACACATTCATAATTTTTATTGGCAACTCTTAAGTAAGAAATATAATCATTGACAGTTTAAAGGGTGAATTTCACATCATTGAACCTTATATATTCTAATAGATAGTGTTACCAAAGTCCAAAATAATTTTTTGTTAACAAATACCCAACTCTACAGTAGTAGTTTTTAGCACTCTGCTAGTATAGTATTCTTTAGCTCTGTATATTTGGTGCAGGGATGATAAAGAACCCCAATTTCTTGGAGGAAGTGTTGGAACATTTTGGGAAGGATGATGAAATTATAGTTGTAAGTCCACAAAACTACTAGTATATGGTTTTATTTTAATAATATAAGCTTCAATTTCACGAGTTAAGATGCCAATTTCTTTTTGCTTAGTAAAATCTTTTATTGACTTTGCATTATACAGGGATGCCAGTTGGGTAAGAGATCATTTATGGCTGCAACTGAACTTCTTGCTGCTGTAAGTCCCTTACATACTACAGCTTTAGAATAGAAAATTCTTAAAAATGAAAGTAATAAAAATAACCCAAAGTAATTTGGGCCAAAAAATAAAGTCTTAGAACCTCTACAGGGATTTACTATACGTGATGATAAATTGACACGTGGACATAAATCCTACGTACGCTACTAGTTAATTACGTGCTATATATTGTGCAGGGATTTACTGGGGTGACTGACATTGCTGGTGGATATGCTACTTGGACAGAGAGTGGACTTCCGATTGAGTCTTGAATATAAAGCATTAATAGCCTTTTATTTACTCACATATAAAAGGGTAGATTAATAAATAAGTACACCATCTTTAATTACTTACTATAATAACACCAGTAGTAAAATCTATTCCCTTTCATCACATCAAAATGTGGCTGAAAGTTGAAAAAGCAACTTGCAAAACATTTGTATAGCAATTTATATTAGGTGATATCCGATGTGGGAGAATCTGTATTGCAAGCAATATGTGTAAATATTGTTCTCCTAATTCTGCTGTAATAAATAATATTTGCCTGAAAGGCCTCTCATCTGCTCACTTCCCAGTTCCCCCTCTGCCAAAATGGTTGCAATGTTTGCTTTCATAAATAACTCTTTATAAAGTGTAAAAATAAAGCTCTTTCTAACTAACAAGGGACACTTTATTTTAAAATATTATCCGTAATCTTTTCTAACGAAAATTGCAAAATTGTTTTATGTTCTTCGGATTAATTTATAAACAAGGAAAACTAAGAAGCCAACTTTATTTTACTTCCTTGCTTTGGATTGAAAACAAAGATAAATAAGTAGACGGTAGGTACATATAGATTAGGTGGTCTAATTGATCAACACACAAGGAAAATTAAATAATCTCATTCTTAAATTTAAGGAATCCTAACGAATAACAACCGGATGGAAATATGATTTAAAAGAATGGTTATGCATTTGCAAATTTGAATCTCTTGTGTGAAAAATATTTACACAATCAACACATATAATGTAATTACATGTTAAAATTTAAGATAACTATTAATTGATAACTTGCTAAAAATAGTAATTATATCAGTCTATTAACATATTAACATGTTAAATTATATTGACGTTAGCGTATATAAACTAAATCCTTTTTTAGTTTTATGTTTATCTTCTTTGACTTTGTACAAGTATTAGTTGGTATATGTTCAAGCATTAGTGGCCCCTGCCCAGGTGGTGGAATGGTCCTTTGAAATACTTAAAAGTTACACAAAATCAATTTCATCTTGCCACGTTCTAGTAGACCTATTGTTCCATTCTCTTACTTTACTAACAAACATGTTGCCCACGCTTCCTTATTTCCACAATGTTAGTATAACACACATAAAATCTGTCCAATTCAGTATCTCTGCCAGAATTGAGTTTGACAAAAAAAGGCTAACAGTATTAATTTGTAGTATCAAAGATGAGGATGTCTAAGAAGAATTGGTTTGGTAATATCAGAAAGAAACTATTCAGGTCATCTCCTCCACATAAAAATATCATTGTTCTTCATAACAACACAATTACCAATAGGACCAGCAGCGCCAATGGACGGTCATCTACAAAGAAAAATAATGGGCACATCTATTTTATGTCTAAAGAGGATATGGCTGCTATTACTATCCAATCTCATTTTAGGGGTCATCTTGTAAGTTTTTCCAACTTTGATCAATCATCATATTTTTCTTTAATTTCTTTTAATTTGATATTACTCACTATCAGTGAAAATTGTGCTAATAGAACATGATTTTTCCATTCATTTCCCACCAAACCAGCTCACTGGAAAAATGCATGGTGGGAAACATATTCTCACTAAAATATTGGGAAGCTTCCTTACTTTTCCATATGAAACAATAATTACATTACTATTTTTCTTTCACATCGATTCGATCAAAATATCTGTGGAAATAGTTAGTTGAACATTTTTCAATGGGAAATTTCGGTGGAAAAATAGTGTTTCTTTTAGTAGTGTGACCATTTGTTTATACATGTGTTGTTGATTCAATATTTTAGGCGAGACGGGCGTTTAAGGCACTGAAAAGCCTTGTGAGGCTTCAAGCAGTGGTAAGAGGGGCATATGTGAGAAGACAAGCAAGGATAGCTCTGCATTGCATGCACGCCCTTGCACGGTTACAAGTTACTGTCCGAGCTAGGCAACTCCTCAGCAAGTGCAATGACCATTGAATTGATAAAGTATCTTTTTTAGGTGATCTGTCCGTCAAAGTACGTATAGAAGTTAAATTCTTGACCAATTTTCAGATGCAATTCAACGAAAATTAATTATAGGGGAATCAGATCATAGGATGGAAGGAATTACTGAGTCAGAGTGCCTGAACATGACTTGTAATGTTGTACGTCTAATTCTTGTTTAGAACTTGGGTATTGCAACTAACAAATGTTTCCAGTGTTGTACTTGCATATCGTATTTTCTTTTAGATCTTATTATAGGTTTGATTTTTGTAAGCTTTTGAAGAATATGTCGATTATCTGAAAGATATGAATGTTCTTCTAAAGTACATATACTATGTGTGTATGTGGTTATGTTGTAATATGATCTAATTTTCTTCTATTCTTGTTTCTTTTTGTCTTGCTAACAGTTGATTCTTTTCCATCTCTTAGTACCAAAAAAGCTACTATTTGTTTTCATCGTTATTTCTTTTCAAATTATACACCTAGACTCTATGAACCTCAAATTTCACTTCACTTCAATTGCAGAGGTATCTATCTATACATTGAAAGCTAGTCAGGGGTGGTTTACTCAAATTCTCTGTGACAATGGTTATTTTTTATAGACATCTTGGTTTACTTCAAGAACATCAATTCGGAAGCAATGATCTGGTAGCTAGAACCAGATAAAGAGGATAAAAATTCTCAATAAGAAAGGTACAAAAAGGGTTAGGAATTAGAACTTGCGCAAATTCACAGTTATTCTGTACAGAGTTGCCAAAGCTTTACTCACCAGCTTGCACCCCTGACTAAATTAGGAATAGTAAAAGAATGCCAAGCGACATTACATAAAAACCGTGATTTTCAAAAACTAATCAGATCAAGTCTGGTCATCTGAGAATCTGTACACCGAGACAAAAGCTGAAGGCCGATCACCTTCCTCTCTTTAGTAAATTCTCAGTGATTGCCCTTTCTAAGAGATGAGAAAAAGCTACCGATTGATTTGTCTTTGTGTCTGTCCTCTCCATCATCTCCAACCTGTTTTTTCAAGCATACAAAACTAGGATCAAAGGAATGAACAAACTTAAATAAAACCAAGCTTATTTAATACAAATGCCTACCTCCCTAGTTAGTTGCTTCAGAATATCCAAAATCTCCGAGAAATCTGGTCTCTGAGTTGAGTCTTGCTGCCAGCATTTTTCAAGAAGTTCAGCAAGCTTTGGATGAGTGCTCTTAGGAATTGTTGGCCGTAGACCCTGATAACCATGTCAAACCAAATGTGAGGTGTTGGTTTAACTGGGGAAGATATAACAAGTACTGATGATGACAGTGGACTTTATACTACCTGTTGCACCACACCTATTGCTGCTTGTAATGGTGTTAAGTACGCATATGGAATCTGCCCCATCACAGTACATGAACGTTAGTTGAGGTGTCAAGCAGCTAACACGTGAACATAAATAGATGCAACACAGAGACTTACTTCTCCAGTCAGAAGTTCCCACAGCACTATACCAAAGCTGAAAACATCAGCTTTGTGGTCATACGGTTTGTGTTCAATCACCTTCAACAAATAAAAACCATTTTAAGAACGAGACTTGCATGCTGCAGGATGGTTAAGCACAAAACTGGGACAGAAATGACGGGGATAATGTAAGAGAATGTTGTAGTATTAAGAGGAAAATAAGTCAAAACCATTACACCAAGAGGTTCATATTTTAATACTTAATATTGCAGAATCGAATGTATCTGCATGGTATACTGTAAAGGAATCCTGCAATGCATATTACCAATGACAACCTAGGTAAAGTAACCCTCGTAGAAGGTTATCAAAAGCTCCTTGTGCTTAAAGTATCCAATATGCATCAAGGTGAACACAGAAACACAAGTCACAACTCACAACTCACAACTGCATGAAAGTGAGAATGTGACAACCACACTTTACTGAGTGTGGAAACAAAATCCAAGTACAAGGATAAAATTGCAAAAGTCAGAGAGAATCACACATATTAAAAGCACCTCGTGCTTAAACCACACAAGATGCTTGAGGTGTATCCCAAAGCACTAGTCCCAAACCAGCTCGAAGGGAACTATTGCAGTTATTTTATGGTGGCAACAAAATCTAAGCACGAGGATAAACGGAAAATTAGTGGAGCAATCATGCATATCTGTCATCAAGAAAATCAAAGAACTTGGAATCATGAATTTCAACTGGATTGAGGATATTGCAGTAAAATCTGCATAAAATTAAGTTCAGATCTTCTGCACCTCAGGAGCCATCCATCTATACGTTCCAGTTTCTGCAGTCATCACCCCTGTTTGAGTCTGCACTCTAGCAACCCCAAAGTCACCAACCTTAACAACCTGTTAAGGAGAGGATGGATCTTATAGTCAGAGTGAACATTCTGTAAACAAAGCAAATAACGTGGGAAGTAACTCCACCCAGCAGCAGTTTAGGTGTTGCTGTGTGATTAAGCAAAGTTCATCAATCGATTTCCTTGGAAATGCAAAAACTGGTGATGTAGAAATTAACAAGAAACAATGTACTATTTTGGACATTCACATTTTTCAAAATATGAACCAAATTAAATTGCCACTGATCAAGCTTTAATGCTGCTACTATTACTCATAGATTTTCTTTTTATAGGATTCAATGAATAAGTGGACCCTGCAAATGAACTTTTCCGTAGACTTTATTTGGCATTTCTTCTAAAGGTTTCAATACTGCAGTCCAATCACAGATTATGGTTCTTTCTCTAAAAATAGTTTTCAGAAGATATCATCCATGTAATTAGACATTTCAAATAACCTATTAAAAGGGCACTGAGCAATGAAAAACCTTGGACTTCTAAGCCATACAGATCTCAGTGTTTGCATATTAACCTTGAATTGCCTTCATGTTTAATTGCACCCAAATTTTTGCATGAGAATGGATGTACTGGTTTTAAGATAGCTTAGTCACAGATGAAATAATACACTAGACTCTAGAAAAATAATAATCTAGACAAGCTTTTTGAAACAGTTGCAGTACAGCTCTGACTTACTCCATGTTCATCCATCAGAAGATTGGCAGTCTTCAGATCCCGATGAATTATGTTATTTTGGTGCAGATAGCTCATTCCCTTAGAAACATCAATTGCAACCTTCAGGAGAGTAGGAAGCTTAAAAGCACCTCTTTGCTTGTGCAAAAAAGTATAGATGCTTCCTCTGGTCATGAACTCTGATCAATAAAATTATCAGATGCACCTTGTCATTAACATGATGAAGAAGGATAGATGTACAACAACAAGTTACAAAAATAAGCTGCCATTCAAGTGCAGTAGTGTGAGGAGAAAATTCAAAGTTTGGAAAATGAATAAAAGCACACCTCTGCATATAAAACACTATGGATCTGCCGGCAAACATTATGTAACAGTAATCAACAGAGAACAAACAGTTTCTCCAATTTATTAACTGACGTAGAAGTTCACTTTAAATATATAAAATCTTGAAATATACCTGTCACGATGCACAGGTTCGGAGGTCGTGTGCATGCCCCTATAAATTGAACAACATTTTTATGCCGAATTTTCCTAAAACATAGTGAGACAAGATCTCAAAACTTGATCAAAGAAAGTAAGAAACAGGAAATAGGAAGCTAGACTGATAAAACAATTTTAGTAATAAAATTCAAATTCACATATCCACTAATGTTTAAATTTGTAGTTTTTCCAAGACTTTTAAGTGTGTTTTGGGAGAACCTAGTCCCTTGCGTTATGTATGATCCAGCTTTTTCATCCAAATAGCCTAATGCCACTAAAAAGAAAACAAAATAGCCAAATTCCACATATAGAAGAAATACCTAGTGACTCAACAAAGTATAAAGGAAACAGGACATTCAATTTAACCGCAGGAGTAAAATATTGTAAGAAATTCTCTAGTGGCACAGAGCATTTTTTTTCAATAGAGTACGACTCTATCTAGGAGTAAAAAAAACAATCCTCAGATAGACTTTTAGGTATGGAAAGATTCTCTAAGTTATGCTGAAAGAGATTATCAACCATGATAGTACAACAGACACACCTCATGATAAAGACCTCCTGAGAGAACTCTTTTACCATATCCATATTCAAATTTTCAGGCTTGAGAACTTTTATAGCCACTTCCTGGCTACAGTATGTGCCTTTATACCTGAAAAGACACAGTATAAATCCACTGACTCAACAAACTCAACTAGAAATCAAGATATGGATTGTTGGCTCATACAGATCTCCAAATGACCCAGATGCTACTTTGTTTTCAAATTTCAGCAGGCGGATGTCAATTTCCCAGTCATCAGATCCATCAGTAGGTATTTTTACACTATCGGAGCCTGATTCAGATGTTTGACCTGGCTCATTGATTGGAGGCAGGACCTGTGGCTGCTCCTGAAAAACATTACCAGAAGACAAAGCACTGAGATCATCTGTCCAATATGATAATCAAAATCTAGAAGACAATATAACAAGAAAACTTGTTCAAATTTGAACCTACAATTAGTAGGTTCAGTTGGAAATATGTTTTAGTCAGTTACTAAAGTTTACCCTCCTATGATTTAGGAGTCTTTAAGTCGTGTCAAAGGCTTATATGCTAGAAGGAAAAATAGTGAATTTTTAGTACTTTTTATTTTTATTTTGACAACTTTGATTTAAGATGAGCTTAAATATAGGATTAGTGATTCATACAACTGACCCCAACTTGACTGGATTGAGGCATAGTTATTGTTTTGATTCCTTCTATCGTTTTATAACCAAAATCTCATGCATATTTCACATAAACAGGAGAAAGTTGAAGAGATAACGGTGTACCAGTTGCTGAAAAAGTCGAGCCGGTCATAGAAATCAACAACAGTAATACTTGGTTAATTTTATTTTCTTACAACCCCATTTAACATAAGTATCCTACCAACCTACGATTATGTCAGGCATCCAAGCCCAAGTTGTCAAGTAATAATTAAGTTGAGCTTTAAAATTTCCTGTGAGGATTCATATTTCTTTTTTCAGATGTAACCTTAGGATCTCTATTATGCGAAGTAAAGCAGGATGTTAGAGGATATCTGCATGACTTCTAAAAATCTGCTATGCAATACATATATGAACCATAATGTCAGTTGATGTTAATACTTACTTGAGCTATAGCTGTGGCTGCAATTACTGAAACTAATTCAGGGAGAGTTAGCAACAGAGCATTTACAGCATTACTCTAGTAGAAACAACAACTCTCTTCAATAAATTATCTGGAATATTAACACAATTGTTAAGTATGCTTTCTTACTCACGGAAAGCATCAGACTAGCAAGCGAGCCCCCGTGTTCGAGAAATTCATTGATATCTATTTTGAGTATTTTTG